TAAACTAATCTTCTTGTCTTTGGTTACTACCTTGAATCCATGCAAGACTATCTCTAATTCTTTTAATGTGATTACCCATTTCTTTTAAACCGGATTTAACTATTAAATTGATTACGTGACATGCACAACGTTGGTGAAAAATAGTACCGTCACCTAATAGACTTAAATCATTTTCAAAGAATTCAATTGCTTTTGTATTGGCACTAGCATTATCTAATGTTATAGCCATTACTTTATCTCTTAAACTAAATTCATCAATTACATTTAAAATTGTGTTATATATTAAATCTGCGCTATGTGATCCTAGAACACATTTAAAATCTAATATTCTCTTATCTAAATCAAATCCTTTAAAGTAATGTCCGGTTACAGCTAAATAATCTTTATTGGCAATGGCAGACCAAATATCTGCCGTTAACGCAACGCACCCGCTAGTCGAGTGTAAAAGGTTTATTAATGCATCTTTTTCTTTTTTAAATAATTTTAATAAATCTTTCCTAAGAGTAGTTTTTGAAGTGAATTGTGCATTAGGATTGTGTATAACCTTAATATATCGTTGCCAATTAGGATGCTCTACAAAACTAAGTGGTTGATCTAAAGCAGCTATCATTCGCGCAACTTCCATACGATCTTCTTGCGGATCGTATTTCCAAGTGGTTAGACCACCGGTTGGGCGATCAAAAGATAATTGTGTTTGGCGGAGTTCGGGTCCGCTAGATTGGCTAAGCTTTTGAAGACACTTTTCGGAGTGTCGTCTCAAGTGTGTGGTGCCGTGAATAGTGTCACCTTGTAATTTAGATAAACAATATTTACATTGAGCTATATGTTTAGTGTTATCTTCATTATCCACCTCGTCAATTATGTCGAAGTGATCCCAAACTGTCGAGGTACGCTTGCATTTCCTCCTGGAGGTTGCAACACTTGCCAACACAGACGCAGACGCAGTCGCACTCGCCGCTTCACCACGCCCACTACCACTATTGCAACCACGACCTCCAGTACGTCCACCATGGCTCGGATTAGTAGATTCCTGCGTAACAAACTCATTAGTGGGAAATCGCCCTTCTTCTACATTGTGTTGGGCATCAACGAGAATACCACTATAACTAAAAGGATCCATTATAAAAAAATAAGATGGATTAGAGAGAGAGAGAGCTTTAGGATAATGTGATAGTTTTTAGAAAAATTGTGAGAGAGATTGAGAGAGATTGAGCGAAATTGAGAGAGATTGAGAGGGATTGAGAGAGTTTGAGTGAGAAAAATGTGTGAGGGATGGGGGGTATTTATAGGAAAATTTTAGAGTTAAAAAATGATTTTTTTTTAAAAAAAATCGGGATAAACGGCTATTTTTTGAAATTCAGGCAGACTCGGGCAATTCGGGTTTCCGGGTAGAATTCGGGCAGAATTCAAAAAACTAGCCGTTTCGGGTAATTCGGGTAGTCGGGCACCTCGGGTAGGTCGGGTTTTTGGGCAGAATTCGGGAAAAACTTCAAAAAACTAACTGTTTTCGGGTAATTCGGGCAGTTCGGACACCTCGGGTTTTCGAGTAGAATTTAGGCAAAATTCAAAAAAAAGTAGCCGTTATGTGCATTCGGGCAGTTTTTAGGCAGGTGGGATCGGGCACACAGAATTTTTGAGCATTTTTCGGGTCGGGCATGGTCAGAAAAATTTAAAAAAATTCCGGCGGACGGCGATAAACGACGATTAGACGGCGGCAGGCAAAATAGACAATACAAAATTTGGGCTGCCCGAGCCCGAACCCGAAATTCTACCTTGGGCGGGCGGGAAATGGGCTTGCCCGCCCGAGCCCGAAAAAATTCAGGCTTCGGGCAGCCCGCCGTCCCGAACTTCTAGCACTGCTACTGCCACAAAGAGATTCTTTCTAGAATGGCATAGTTATAATTTGCAAAGATCTGGATCAAATACAGATTGGAGATTATAAATATGAGAGTTGAAAAAAATAAAGAAAGCTTAATTTATTTCTTTATTTTTGTGTAATTTTTATTAAAAGATAAAATTGTTTAACTTACTTTTAGAATGTATAAGTCTAAATTATTACGCCTTACTATTGATTAATACCTTTTTCACTAATATTTATTTAACTAAAAATGATATTAATTAAGAATAAGGGATACCCATACCCTCTAAAAATTTTCTCTTTTTTTCTTTTTAAAAATGTTGTATCGCGTAACCCACTAAATACATTTAATTTTTTATTTTTTATTTTTTACACTAAAAAATAAAAAGATCATAAAAAAATGGTTTTTAATATATTGAGTTTTAAATTCAAGTATCAGGGATAATAAAAGATAATAATAAGGGGAAAAAAAGGAAAAGGCATGAGGAAGGAAGATATAATTAAAATAAAAAATAAGAGAGAAAAAAGTAAATAAGATGAGAAATGGGAAGTGCTCAAAATCAGTTTCTGCTGTAAAGTGTGAAACTAGTTAAATCTGTTAAATTATGTCCAATTGGTTAATACATTTGTTCCACGTCATGGCCAGCCTCCTTTAAAAAAAATAAAAAATAAAAAAAAACTCGAAAGAGATAAGTAACTAATATCCACTTTTATTATTAATTAATATGAAGTTTCTTAAAATCACATCAGATTTAAAAGATCTGATGACTGAAAATTAAGAAACTATCGATGGTCTATTTTGACCGAAATTATAAAAAAAAAGTCTCTAATTAAATATTACACGAAATTATGACTGATGAAAACAACATTACACAAATGATATATATCGGTGCTCGACACATAAGCTGGACACACCCATAAAACCAACTTGATAATTCCCCCTAATCAATGAATCACATTTTCTTCTCAAGTGCCCTTGAGGCTTTCAATTAGCATCTTTGAAGAAGAGACCGTCCCAAGCACCCCAAGAAGAGCCCCAAATCCAATCAAAACCAGGTTCATAGCCAAAACAGGCCTCGAAATCTCCGCCCAACAAATCTTTGTGTAAAGAGCACAAGGGAAAATTATGCATACCCCCGCGCTCAAGAGAGACCCAGTGAGGCCCAAAACGTGTTCGAAGTATGGAACTGAGAGGGCAAGAGCGAGAATGAGCAAAAGGAGAAAAGACCCCACAAGACCCCTCAAGATGGTCTTTGTTTTGGGACTTATTTTGGAGGGAAAGTAGTTGTGTTCAAGTTGAAGGGCCAAGGGCGAAAACTCCAAGGCGTATTTGGTCATCGGTGTGAGGACTGTGGCCCACAAGGCAATTTTCGTGGCGATGAAGTGTGGGGGCATGCTAAGGGTGATTTGGGGGTTCACTTGGGGGCCGAAGAGTTTGGCTCCCATGAATGCTAGGATTGTGTAGAGTGTGGTCACTAGAGTGAAGCTCACTATGGTCCCCTGCAGGATGCCAAAAAAAAAAAAACAAGAGAAAATTTGTTAGTTTGTAAAGAAAAATTACCATACACGCGTTAGAAACGAGCAATGTTAGGAAGCATCCCAACACCGCATGCCTATTTAGAGTCCGTTTAATTCGTTGATTTGAGTTTTTAATTCAAGTTAAGATGTGATTTTATGTGAAAGCTTTTTACTGTTGTAAAAAAGTTAGATGTGATTGTTTCTGAGAGCATTTTACTGTAGCAAAACTCGAATTCTAAATTTGAATCGGTGAAATGAACAGACCCCTAAGAACCGTTTTTTAAAATGGTTTTAACGTATTTTGAGAAGCAAAAAATGAAAATGAAAACGAAACGGTGTTTTGTTTAGCAAATGTTTTGAAAATGAAAACATTAAGAATGAGTTTTGTAAAGGAATTAGAAAACGGTTGAAAGTTGTTTTCACTTTTCTGTTTTCAATTTTTAGTACTTATCAACAATATTATAATATATTAATTAATAAACACGATTTCACTTTTTTATTATACTCAAAATAATCTCTTAAAAAATCAACCAAACGTAATTTCAGAATCGATCCCAAAATAATTCTCAAAACAATATTATTTTTACTTTTTATTGCAAACAAAATTATTTTAAAACAAATTCCAAACGCACCTTAAGAAAGTGAGTCCAACAGAACTGGATTCATATATAGAGAACATTTTCTGTAATTAATTGTAGTACTCAGCAATGCCGATGGTCTGATCAAAATTCGACAATTCAAAACATTTATAGTTAATTAATTGACAATTTTTGTTTGATTTTGTTGATTTATGATCGATATATTGCATAATGCTAGTTAAGCACTTTAATATATTTCCCAAAAGATATTAGACTTGACGTACATTATAGAGAATATACTCTTGAGTAGTTGTCATACTCACACCATCCTATGTATAATGAAGCATAATTCTTATATGCACTTGATGGAAGTGTGTCACATCTGACAATAAACGAAATTGTGCTACTTTATTGTGATAAAAATTTAGGATGTACTATACAATTGACTTTTTAATCCCTAATAACATAATGAAACAATCTTGGAATTTATTTGGTATATGAATTTAAATTAAGGTTCTTGATTATGACTTTTGAAATTTTAATTTTTTATGAGAGAAAATATTATAACTGAACGAAAACTATGTGTTTGCACTATAGCAAAACTCATATACCGAGCATATACTAGTTATTGAAAAGAAAGTTGTGAGCTTTTTAGCTGAATAAAGTTTCAACAATGCTCAGAATATTGCTCATTTTCATCAACCAATAGCTAAAACTGAATTACATGCACATAGCTTCTTAAAAATATATGCCATATATAAAAGCTATGTAACATGGTATTGATCTTAGTAAAAATTTGGAAAGAAAATCTGAGGGCCCATTTAGTTTGTTGATTTGAGTTGAGATATAATTTTATGTGAGAGCTTTCTACTGTAGCAAAAAAGTTAGATGTAACTGTTTTTGAGAGATGTTTACTATAACAAAACTCGAATTCTAAACTCAAATCGGTGAAATGAAGAAGACATCGTCTGGAAACTGAGAAATTATATATGTGTGTATATGTGTGTATGTACATACCTTTTTGAACTTGGATGGATCTTTCATGGTAACATATAGATTGGGGAAAACAATATGCCCTGCATAGCTAAAGATATAAAGCCCAGAAATTGCAGGAATCTTATGAAGCTGGAGAGCTGGGATCTTGTGGTCAGCTTTCACACCTCCAAATATGGCTGTGCATGCCACAGATGAAAAAATAACTGCTGACATGAGAATGCCACCAAAAGAAAGGAAAGATATGGAAGAGAGATTTCTCAGCCAAAGGCTTGGCACAGCTACCAAGACAGCCAAAATAGTTAGAAGCTGAGATGTTGATAACTTTGCCCATGGAAGGTTAAGCTTAACCCCAGAGAAGGCAACGATTATGTTGTCATGCAATGAGATTGTGTAGGAAACAAGAGTCATGAAAATCTCCAAGTAAATAAATGTTGCCAATATGATTTTTCCTTTGTTTCCAAATGCTTGATGTCCAATGTCTGTGTAGCTTTTGGAGTTGGCATTTTTGTCAAGACATTTTCCTAGTAGAAGGGTTGAATATGTACAAATTAGGCCAAGTCCTATGAGCAGGAACACAGAAGACCATCCTCCATTTTCTAGGGCATATGGTGTTGATAACTGCCCTAGTCCTGTAAAGGAAAAAAAAAAAAAAGAGAGAAAATTTTAGTGCTGAATACATGGTAATTAGGTTATGTCATTCAATCTTATGAAATCGAAACAAAAAGAATGAGAATGAAAAGATAATTGTGGTTAAACAAGCTTATTTTCTCGACATGAATTGAAAAATGAATGTCAAATTTGTACAATTAGGTTATGTTGGTTTTTCATGCTTTTTAATTCGTTATAACATGATTTTGATCAAACCTAATATTCAGAAATATGCATTACACAAAAGTAAAAGGCTCCAAATAAGATTATAAGAAAGAAAAACAAAAATCTCACCGATAAGCATCCCGATCATGTTGATGACGGCATGAGCAAAAGAGCTGTTAGCCTGATGATCTCCATCGTGGTTGTGACCAACATCTGTGACACTTTTCAAGTGCTGATCATCAGCACTTTGGTCGCACTTGCACACCTGATTTTGCTCTACACAAACGTCGCACCTTGCCCATAACATTTGCTTTGCATCCAATTCCGCGCCATGCACTGACTCGCTTGCGACTTGGTTTTGGTGGGCAAGACAGTTGGAACATTCTGATTTCCCAAAGAATTTCAATATTTTGCTCCACATCTTAGGGTTCTTTCTTTTCTTTCTTTTTTTTTTTTTTTTTTTCCAAAAGCCTAGGAGAAGAGAATATTGATGTCTAATTCCTTTGTACTAAGCTTGCTGAAAAATCATGAAAGGTTTTTGGGTGTATTTATAGGTGACGAAATTGATACTATATGTCATGTGTTTTATAATCATGCCACTGTGAGAATCTAAAGATACTTTGTAATCACAAGAGTGGAAAGAAAGACGAATATTATTTACAGATATGGTTGAGGACAGATTATATGGTACACGTATTATTCACTAACCATATACCATTTATGAGAATCTGATTAATTCCCTCACCTGGTGGATGCATTTTGGGATATATATCTATACATATATATATATATATATATATATATATAGATATATTGATATAGGTATATTATTAGTTTGAAGTAAGTTGCTACTGAATTTGACAAATTGGATGTACAAGTTGCAATATTGATAGAATGAATTAAAGTATAGCAAGGCTTTCTCTCATGCAAAATGAATCACACACAATCCAACATTTATAGTGGCAGAAGCTTGTTTTGGGTGAAAGAAACAGATGAGTAGCTGCAAAACCATAAATTGTAATGTTATAAGTCGGTCCATAAAAGTATCTTTTCAGGAGTGCACATTAATATTAAAGTTGTATACATAATTATTGTGGTAGGGTATTAAGAAAATCAACATATTATTAAACCATCAAATCACATAAAAAATTTATTATAAGATTAAAAAAAATAACAAAACTTAACTAAAATTGTAACATCATAACCATGCCTTCAGAAAGTAGGTTTTTTTTCCTTACCCAATCAAATAATTCTCCAAATTCGCTTGAGTTTTTGAAATATATACTGCCAATATGAAATATTTACTATAAGAGGACGTTTGGTTGATAGTTTCAGAATCATGATTCAGAACGATTCTCAATTTACGTGTATTTTTTGTGAGAGAAAACATTATAGTGAGCCACGAATCATGATTCGAACCATAGCACGAATCCTTGAACCAAATGCACTTTAAAAGTCTCACCGTAAAAATCAAACCGTAGGTAACTCTGACACTTATTAGTTCATTAACATTGGTAAACATATTTGTTATATTCACTGTAGAGTGTAAAATCTACAATTGAATTTATACGAGGCTAATGACCGAATCCGGACTAAATAGAAGGTTAGTATTGTGTAGCAAATAATAAATGCACGAAAAAGTAAATAAGAGACAAGAACACGAGATTTATAGTGGTTCTCATGATAACTCAGGCTACATCTACTGTAATTAATCCCTTATTTATAGGCTTGGTGGCTGAATCTCTATAGGATAAGATCTTCTGTTTGAATTTTGATAGGAGATATCCTGTAGATAAGCCTGAAGTTTGAATATTTAAATTAGGATTGAGATAATCCCTTTTTTAGAGGAGATATCCTTGTTTAAATGAGTTTTTTTGAGATTTAGAGATATAATCTCGTGCATAATATGATCCTTATTTGGTAACTTGGGTGCCAAGTTACCCATGCAATTTGGGTAGCTCACCGAATGATCAACTGTCGGTCATTCGAGTTGCGACCCGCGAGCTGTCTGAAGCTCGCGACTCGATTCTGATGTGCTGGAGTCGTTCTTCTAGGTCATTCCTCGATATGAGAAGTCATGGACTCGTTAAATGGCTTGGCGTCCGCTGAAGACCAGTCTGACGACCTGTTGGGCCGGCGAGTTGTCGGAAGCTCCCGGCTGATTCTATAGGCCAATTTTATAATAAACTCTAATTTTTTGAGGAACACGGTGACACGTGTATGGTAAGAAATGAGGTACGAAATTTGATCTCAAAATTCACCATTGTATTATTTTTTATTCATGATGTGTCTAGCTCCCAAAATAGTCTTTTGTTCAAATATTTGTCGAGTTAGATTGACACATTAATTAGTTTGAATGAAGCTCCTACTGCATGCATTTGAAAATCTGGACCGATGCATGCATTTATCTGCGACTAAAGAAGATTAACTTTTCTCTCTTTCTTTCTTTGTGTGTGCTTTTCTTTTTTCTTTTTGAAATTTCTACTAACAAGGAAAGTAATGCAGGTTGAATAGCTGGCTCATCGAAAGATCAATCTCAAATATACTCCAAATACTTATACCCTGTTTGTTCTATTTAAATCTATGAACCAAATGGACCTTGAAAAAACTACTCTACTATTTATTACGGACTATATAGGATCTCCTATTTTAGTGACATAAAATCAATAAATCATATAGATATAGCTCTAGATTTGATATATCTCTTCCATTTTTCCCTTCAATTTAACTCCCACAAAGTAATTAAAGGGCTGAAAGTTGTAAATTAGTATCTGAATTATTTATTTTTGAATAACATCCAACGTTAACAAAAAATGTAGTACTGGTACTGTCGTGGTGTGGCCAAGAACATAATAATATTGCTACGTGGGTTGGTTCCATTTGAAAGGCATAAATAATATACATGGCTGCCGAAGAAAGAAAGGTAACTTGTAGCCAGAATTTCTTATGACGACAACCTTATTCGGTTGGTTTGCTCTATATATTCTTTTCGGATATCTATACATTCATTGAAAACTTTAGCGTATAAAAACGATGCCAAATGAACCGTATCAAATCTATATGGGTCTCCTTATGTTGTGATATATATGTGTACATGCAAATGTCTATATATATATATATATATATGCGATACACGAATCTTAGGCAACTTTTAGGCAATAGACATTCCCCTCCTATTATGTGGGAAATGAAACACGATTCCTTTGACGTTTTCGACATGATCGTCATCATGCCAGATACCACAACAAATATAGTACTTAAGCTATATCTTTCTTCCCCCTAAAGGAGAAGATATGTTGTAACTAATTAGTCCTAATTATAAGCTTTAATGAAAATGAAATCGAGTTTCTCTCTAAAATTAATAAGATATGCCTTTTGTTTTTTCCTTTCCCCTTTTCCTTTTTTTTTTTAGAAAAAATTAAAAAATGATCATTGGTGTCATCACGTTCCCCCTTGATATTTTTAAATGGACTTTGAAAATGTGTTTAGACTTAGAATGAGATATTCTGAGCAATGATAAATAAGATTTCAAACGATGTCTGGAATGTATTCTAGAAGGTTGATTTTTGCATGATAGCCTATAGTGATTGGGGTATGGAGATCACATCCTTAGGGACAGGTCTCGAAACTCATACGGCCGCCTCCATAACGTGGGTGGTGATATCATGGCTTATAATGTGAGTATATTTATTTTTTTTACTATATGTATACATACATGTTTATGTGTAAAGATTTAAAGTTTATAATTTCTATTGTTTTTTTAAATATCGCTTTACTGAAGTATTGTTTTTTTTTTTTTACTAAATTATAACCTACTGGGTCTTCTGTTCATTTTTCTCTATTTTCAATGTTTAATCCCTCTCAGGCGGTGCTAAAAGTAGTGCCGAGTAGGTGGTGTAGTCGGAGATGCTAGCTGGAGCATGTTGTTTCAAGTGCGGAGCTGTTACTATCTTATTTAGTTATATTTCCTGTCAAGGCATGTATTAACTGAACTTTCTGGACTTCTAGGCCGTACTTTCTAAACTCTTAAACTATGGTTGATGTCTATTTTATTTTATTTTCTCTTCAATTCATGTTTCCTAAGACTTGATGGGTTTTCTGTGGAAATCCTGACATGATGCCAGAGGTTGTTTTATTTGAGATTTATCTATTTTGTCACGAAAAAGTGAAGACCCTATTTTCTTCTAAAAAGCTACTTGGTGAACATTTTGAAAATTATAAAATGAGTAGGCTTAGAATTTATTTTCTGTCCCAGAGGTAAAATGTTCTTTTATCTTAATCTTCTAAAATTAAATCACTTAAAAATGGTGGGGCTTGTTTAGAAAACTTTAAAGTATTTTTTCTTGGATTACTTTTGGTTTGTTTTAAGTGTTAAACATTTTCTCTTAAACTCGATTATTTTCTAAATAATGACTCCACGTCACTAACCTCAATTTTGGGGCGTGACAGATTTTAGTATCAAAACCCTTGGTTGTTGAACCTTGGAATTTGTGCATACATTAAAGACATCAGAAAACCACTAAACAGTCTAGTTTTCCTTTCTAGTTGAATGCCGCCTTTCAAGGGATGGCCAGTTGTGCTCAGAACGAACTATCAGTAGAGGAAAGGAAGTAAGGGTACTTCCGTGAATTTAGATGTGCATTAATTCAAGCTGAGTACTGTGAAGGTGGACTGCAGGAGGCTGAATATTGGTTTGAGTCAATACTGAAACACGTGAACATTATGGGAGTGCCAGCCGAGTACTGTGTAGAGTTTTTTACGTATAAGTTTGAGGGCCAGGCAAGCACATGGTGGAAGCAGATTAGGAGAATGCACAATGTTGAGACAATGACATGGGATCAGTTTGAGCAACTCTACTATGAAAGATATTATCCTTAGGCTTATCATGATGAGAAGGCCATGGAATTCATAAGTCTGCAGCAAGGAGATATGACTATGAAAGAATATCAGGCCATGTTCAGTGAGTTGGCTCGATTCGCACCATTTTTGGTGAAGCCTGAGCATTCGAAATGTCTTAAGTTTGAAAGAGGCCTTAAGAATTCAAGTCGAAGGTCACTGATATCTTTAAGACTTTGGGTCAACAATGATCTAGTAGCAGTTGCGATGTGCATAGAGTATGATAATGTGTCACACTGTGAAAGTAAGGAGGATACCGGAAGGACTTTAGGGGGCCCACAATGAAACAGTAGGAAGAATCATAACCGAGGGCAAAACAATGGAGGCAAAGCTAGTGGGTGTAGCAAGTCTTCTGGAAGTGGTAAAAATGGATCCTACAACTTTAAGTGCCGCTACTGTGGACAACTTAATCACATAAAGAGGAATTGTCTTATGAAGAACCTGCAACAATCACATCAGACTCAGAAGAATACTACCTTCGATCAGAACCAATTCCAGTAGTTTGTACTGCCTTTCCCGCCCCATATGCCCACTCAGATGTCATTTCCTCCAGCACAGACTTACCGCTTAACAAATTATCAACAGTTTTGACGTCAA